GGGGGGGGATTATTACCTGACATACACCAAAAATATACTTCAAATATACTAAAAATGTGTAATATGTGCAGAAAGCCAGTGACAAAGTGTATAGCATAGAAAAAGAAAAGATACTTCGGATAGAGAGAAAAGTTACCTCGGATATACCCACCAGATCACCAGAGAAAAGTTACTTCGGATATACTCGGATATACCCAACATATAACCCAAGAAAAAAGGGATTATTAAACAGATAACCAGAGAAAAGTTACTTCGGATATACCCAACATATACCCAACTCGGTTTTGTAAATCTACCTTCGAATTATATACATTTTCAACGCATATGTGCAAAGGTTACAAATTCTTAAACACCCACAAAAGCTCAAAACTGTTATTATTAAAAGCAAAATCAAATCATACAAGAAATATACAAGAAAAAAAAATCCTTATATTATACCGAACATATACTCTAATATACTCTAATTTCCGGTTTTTTCTTCCATCATCTCGAACTCTTCTACTTACTCCAAAAAGGTCCACCGATTGAAAAAAACTGAAACGAAAAGCCCCAATCTCCAGGCTCCAAGTGGTTGGTAATTGAACAGAAAGCAAAATAGAGAAATTGAGAGTTGAACGGAAAACAAAAAGGCCCAATCTCATAATTCATCGAACTCATTCCCTTCCGGAAACAAAAGGATCTACATCAGTCTTATCTGAATCAGATTTATGGTCCCCATAAATCCATATATGAACCACATCAAACAAAGACTTGGATTCGGATCGGGCCTGATGCTACTCAACTGTCGGCGATGCTCGATTCGCCGCAAGGGCCTAGTCCTCGGAAACCCGCTCCCGTCATGGCTGCCTGTTCTTCACCGTGGAGTCCTTCTCGGCAGCTTCAATCACGCTTGGTGACTCAAAAAAATGAGAAGGGTTTGGAGAAGACCTCTCCCGGTGATTGCTGCCGAGGAGATTTGAGAAAAATTTGGGAGTATTGGAGGAGTTGGAGGAAAACATGAATTCTGCATAATAAAGGAGACGTGGGGCGGTAGGAAGTTTTTTTGTTGCACTTTTTGGTTGCTATTTTTTAGGTAAGTGTATATTTAATTCCCTTAAATATCTCAATCACATTTAAAAAAATTATTAAACGGTTAATGAGATGATTAGGTATAATTGAAAATATTTTAGATTGTTTAGGTAATTTTGAAAAATAAAATATAAGATGTGCAAAACTGTTATATATTTTAAGTATAAAAATATGGCATGCAATTTCCTCTTTAAAATTTCGCCGAATCTGGTTAGTATGGAAGAAGGCTGGTTGATGGGCTTTGGAGGAGGCCCAATCGAGAAGGAAGGGTGGGAAAAATGGATACTTGGGGCCTCTGGGGTTGGTCAACAAAGGAAATGGGCGGCCCAACTAGAAAAGAATCCACGTCAAGCTGAGGGGTTGGGTTTGGTGTGGGTGCACCGACAACTGGAGGTTGAATATTGGTCAGAGGGTGGCTAAGCGAAGGAGCCGACGAAGCGGTCGAAAAATGCATGGTGGCCGGTGAAGAGATCCAAAAGTCACCCGGACAGCAGCTCCAGACTTCAAAATCTGGTGAAGAGACGAGGGTTGTCCAAACACCGGAGGAGGAGGGCCAGTGGGTGTCTCTTTGCCGACGCCTGAGCTACGGAGGTGGCCACGGTCAACGAGGAAGGCTTCTAAACGGCGGCTGGTGGCGAGAGATCTGCGGTTGCATCTGGATCCAGTATTGAGGAGGGAGCTAAAATGGTCGACGGGCGGGCGACCGTGATTTCTCCCTCTTCCAAGCTCACTGCTGATAGAAGGAGAGCCAAAAGAAACTTCTTAACGACCGGGTGCGAGACCAGGACGCTCAACTCCGGCGAAACGGAGCAGGTCCGGAGGGAGGTGTTGGGCGGAGACGCTGAGAAAGTCGCCGGGGGGGAGGGGGGAGGAGCCATGGGGACAGAAAAGTAAAAAGGAAGCTGCCGACGGGAGCCGCCGGCAGCGGCGGCTGGCGGTGGCGACTAGGTGAAGGGGGTGGTCGGAGAGGAAAAAAGAAGGGATAAGGGGATAGATAAGTTTTGAAGCCAAAGCGCTAGAAAGAAGGGAGTGCATTTTATTTATTTATTTTTTTTCTCTTGTGTTTGGAGGTTAACAATACTAGAGAAATATTCTCAACTATTCCAAATTTTGTTCCTTAATGGCCAGTAGATTGGTTTTGTAGCAAATGAGCTAAAACCATGGAATATGTTGGCCACAACTGCATATCCGAAAAAATCAATATATAGTCTTCTTTCTGTTCTGAGCTGTAACCCGTGTAGATGGGAGCTCGAGTTATTGCAATACAGTTAGTCCCCTCTTCTGGGAGTTAGGCCCGTATTTCTGGTTTCTAAAGATTACATTGACCTCGGGTTAATAAACAATGTATAACAAATGTTACAAAAGATAAGTCATTAATATGATGGGTACGAAGCGAACTACCCAATGAAGTAATCAAGTGCAGGAACAGCCACTTTAATTATAACCTAGCTTAAAGACCAAATAAAATTCACAATTGTCACATATTCCTTAATTTGTAGTCTGCGTACGTATGTTAATTTGCTTTTATACTCCTTTGGATGGTGAGGAATGTTGCTTGTGGTCCTTTAGTGTTTTCTTGCTTCTTTCTCAGCCTGCAAAACTTTAAATCAACAATGAATTTTTCTTGTACATAAAATACATACATGTGTTTGTTTTAGCAGAAGTGATGGTATGTTACCACCTTGACGACTCTTTCGAATGCTTCGTTGCCATATTTCTGAATGTATCTCTCGACAGATCTTCTTGCATCAAGGCTCATCATTTGGAGAACCTTTTTCTGACCTTCCGGATAATTCGAGCCCACATTCCCTCCGAATTTCACGTACGTCCTCACGTAATTCTCGTATATGTAAGCTGCTCCGTTGAAGATCGGCAACACCAGCCACAGGCAGAATAGAAGCTTCGCGTATGGCCAGAAAGGAAGCCTGATTGATTGTTGACACATAAAACTAAGAATTGTTTCATTCTTTAACTTAAGTTGGGTTAGAAAGACTGGTTACATGAAAGAGTATTTAGTTACCACTGAAGAACTTTCCAACAAGAGAGCTCGAAAAGGGTTATGAAAGAGTAGAGAACCCAGTAAGTGAGCCATTGTTGATCATCAAGGGTCGAAGGGCTCTCGATTGCCCTCATCGACGCGTAGCTGTTAATCAGATGGTTTTCTTACTTTTAAAATGTATAATATAAAAAGAATAGAAATGTTGATTAGTTGAAGAATGAAAAAATGACTTACAGGGGATATAAAAGCATCACGCCTGGTCTGCTCAACACATACAAACAACCAAGTTATAAATTATGAGTAGTGATTATCATTTAAAAAAAAAATAGAAAAAATAAATG